ACTTCCTGTCTTGCAACTGCATTGGCGCAAGAAAGTGTTTAAAAAACTCTTATTCATGCTGGTCATCTAAGTTGGCTTCTGTATAAGCTAAAGAGGGAAATGGTCAAAATCCTGGAGGCATTTAGGATTATGTTAGTTTTTCCTGGGAAACTCAAGGTCTTACTGAAATTTTCTTTACTACAATCTGTCAAATAGCCTACTATGGGCACAGCCTGTTAGTAGAAAATAAATCCTGTTTATCCACAGTGTATGTGCTACCATGTAAGTTTGACTTGAGATCCATTCTAAAAGAAAAACCTCTGTTGGCAGATGAGTCTCTATGCCACCAACTAAACCATAAGCTCCTCATGATGAACATCAATCAATAAGAGGACTTACTGAGAGAAAAGGAACGCAGAACGCAGAACAATTAGGTATCACTGGCTGGATTATAACCTTAATTAGCTTCCACAGCTACTTTCAAATCAACATCACTGGATGCTGATAAAGTTTATCTTCCCAAGTTGACTAAACATATTTCCTTTGTATTTTAAAGACATGCATTCAGTTAGTTCTCTGTTCTTTAGAACGTCTAGCATGTTCTAAATGTGTAATTAAAATTTCTTGTGATGGTAGTCTTACAGCAAAGTGAAAAAGCAGCTACAACACAACTCTCTACTAAATTACCGAATTCTTGAAATACCAACCTGCTCTCTGAATGGAATCTGTTAAAATTCTGTCTGATGTGTCATATTCTGTATGATAGATGTAGCCATTTTCAATAAAAGCCAAATCTATTCCTACAGAGAAAGAAAAAGCATGTTTGAAATTATGTAAGCCTAAAACCTCAAAACAAACATGTGAAAACCTCAGATATATTTCACACAAAACGTTGCTCTACTTCGTAGCCTACTGATGATTCTTAAAGATGAACAAAACAGTCTGTTTTGTAGAAGCAAGACTAACTGGGATTCCACATGTATTTAAAAAAAATACACTTTTAAAACATTTTAAAATATCTGTCCTTTCTAGTGTATTGATTTGCGGGACATCTGTACACAAACTGACCTCTACTGGAAAAACACATGAAAATACTTAATCATCTCGGCTTCAGAAAAGATGTACAAGGTGTTTTCCAAACATTGACCAGTAAAACATCAATAGAGATCCACGCTGAAAAGTAATAAAAAGCAGCATTGTGGAACTATAGAAACACCTTCTCAAAATACCAGGTGTGTTCTTTTTACTTCTAATTTGTAAACAGCTTTTCAAATAGCCAGTCTAAAAACTCTTAATTTAAAAGTCCAAATAATTTGTAAAAATAAACAAACAATATTTACAAAAAAAAAAAAAAAAAAAAAAAGGTTTTCTGCAAGATTAATTATACATTCAGTGTATTCCAAACCCACACGCCCTCAGCTGCATATGCAAAAAGCTGCTGTCTGCAGTCTGAATCCTCATAATTTTGCAGAGGTTTAACAAAGCAGACCTCAATTCTACCAATGGACAAAGAGGAACAAACTAGTTCTTTAACTCAACTATTTCATTTCTATTTATTTAGAAAAAACAGAGGTCAGTGAGAATTGATTTATGATCCAGGTACAATTCTGAACAAATAAAGAGCACATTGTACAAAATCAGCTACTTTATTTTCAGGCTAGAAGTGTACTTTGGAACAGTTCAGAATATGCCAACATGTTTTGTTCTAAGAATCAGTTCAGAAATATCACTTCTTGAAAGTGACTCCAAAGACAACCTGTGCCAGACAGCAAGGATTTTACAGAAGTTTATGTTCCTTTGAACTGTGTTTGCATTGTGTGTTCCACATTTTTTCCCACTGGTCATTCTCTGCAGAATGGATACCAAACCGTAAACAGATTAGCAAAACCAAAAACTGCTGTCCTGTGCTCGATTCTGACAAAAAGAAAAAATAATGAAAACGCATTAATCACTAAGTCACTATCTTTAAAAAAGATGATTTTGGTTTATCCATTAGGTACAGATATTTAATTCCTGCACGCAGGTTATTAGCATCATTACCAAAAGGTTTCAAAACAGAATATTTAATAGTATACTGTTAATTCCTGGAGTGTTTTCCTGATTTTCACGAAACTTTTCTGCAATGTAGTTTCTTTCTGGAAAACTGCAGTCTCCAAAAACATCCTTAACAATCTACACAACAAACCAAACCTACAGGCTCTTGCCTTAGAAAAAAAGCAGGAAAATTTACTGCCAAACTGAAAGACAAACCAGATTTGAGGACCTTCACATAGTGAACTGCAGAGCAGTCTCCTTATTATAAACTTACAGTAAATGGTTGCCTAATGCACATTGACATGTCTTCTGATAACATACCTGGAACATTGCCAAAGTCCCTGTAGATACGGAAGTCTGTATCTGCTGGGATAATACCACTCTGAAATATTTCCTGTGCCACCACAGAGGCAAAGGGATGTTTGGCTGCAACTACGTATGCTTGTACCAACCAAGGATTCTCAGGTCCTAACAAAAGATGAGCAGAAAGTTCACAACAAATACCTTTTGAACTTCAGTTAAGATGTGTATCTTTATGGTAACAAATAAATAACGCAAAGGAACTCACTAGAGTTTTAATGCTGTTGCCCCACAGGGGAATTTAAATGCATTAAGTGCATTTGTTTTGGCTGAATGACTCCCACTTGAGAGAAAGAATTAGTTACGCTTGGGGGAAAAAAACCCACTGACACCTTGAGTGTTCAGTGGCAGAGCAGACAAGCCATCTCCCAAAAAAGACTCAGCACTAATGAAGAAGTCACAACCTTTAGCAGGGTTTGCAATTTATCATCTATGTATCACAGCTCAAAACTGTTGTAAAAAGAAAAGTCTCTCCACTAAAGCATTCAATGCAAGTAAACAATTAAGCAGCTCCAGCAGCAGAAGGAAGTCTGCAGTCCAGCTAGGATGGAGCAGAAGTTTAATTGTAGCCTACAAAACACAGAAGTTTTGCTGTGAAAATTAAATAAAGCATATGGAAGTATGAGTATGCAAGACATAGGAGATACCCAAATCTTTTTTCTCCGTATTACTTTGATGTAAAAGGGAAATACAACTTCTGTAATTCTGTTCTACACAGGCTTCCCACCTATGAGGCAAATTCTGTGGCAGTGCTTTAGCCTACATGTATCTAAAGATGGAGAGCGACTTATTTGCTGCACAGGGTTGGGACAGAGGCACAGAGGTTCTCCTGTCTTTTGCTTATGAGTCACTTTCAATAATCCTTCAAGTCTACATTGTTTATTATCAAATTATCCCAGTGTAGAAAGTGGACACAATGCAAGCTCATACCTGTTTGAAAAACAAGTTCTTTTCCTCCTACACCTGCTGCCTCCAGGTTAATAAAAGCTCTAATTGACTTGGCCCACTCATGTTGTGTAATGAAGCCGTGACTAGCCTTGATGGGAAAACAAAAAAAATATAGGTCAAATATCTTCCAGACCAGCCTAAATGTTATTTTCCATCACATATGATCATAACTCAAGACTGGACAAGGCAGCCAGATCACTTACAACACAAACAGAAAATCCAAGTCTTCTAATTAAATTAATATGGACAATATTCTTAATCTAAGTATATTTTTCTCTTTGAAATCAAATACATTTTCCTCAGAATGTTAAGACTGGCATTTAACTAATATTTCAACAGATTAAATACAAGTCATATCTGCAGTTACTCTTTCCTTTGTCAGAGTCCTAATACACAGCTTTGATGTATGTTTTATAATTCTGGCATATTCTCACCTGCAAAATATTTTCTTCTGCACCATTAAATAAGAATATGACAGCATGCTGCAGGGGCTCTGATGATTTTGAAAGTGTATTAAGTATTTCAAGCATCACTGCGCAGCTAACAGCATCATCACTGGCACCTTAAAATAATCAGCAGAATAGTATGGCTTACAACACACACACAAAATTGCAACAAGGATAAGAGAAGAAAACAGCTTTATGTTATCTCAGTCACTTAATCTAACTGAGGTACAATTATGTCAAGCTTTAGTATATTTTCTGCTACGGTTTGCACCCTTTGTCTATACTAGTTAAAAGCAACAGCAGAAAGAAAAATTACGTTCAAAAGTTGAGCAAGTGAAGTACAGGTTATCAGATCCAATACTACTGTGGAAGAAAAGTAGACTAACCAGGTTACTAAGCAAGTAAAGTGGTAATTATTTATTTTTCTAAGACCAATACAAATAAACAAGGACATAACTTTCACTTACAGCATACTCAAATTTTAAAAAACAAACATTCCCACACAAGTCACCCTAAAGCACTCTACACTGTTACAATGCATTCAAGCAAGTGGACAAAACCTCAAAGTAACGTAAGGCCAAGACTGCAAAATAAAGCAAAGGAAACACCAGAATCCACACCTTTAAAACATTCTTAAAATGAAAGTACATACTATAATACAGTATTTTCATGATCAGATGCTTTCCACCACCCTTTTCTTTGTAGAAAACCCCTTTTGCTCTGAGCTCAGTAGTCTGTTCTCTGTTTGAGTTCCTCATCCAACACTATTCTAGAGTTACTTGCACTTCCTCACACCTCGTCCCCTCCCCCGCCATTTTTTTATCTTTATTAAGGATCCATTTTTTAGCCAAGGTCTCCCATTGCCCCATTTCCCTCACTTCAGTGCAAGCTGTAGCATCTCCCTACCCCACTCTAATCAATAAAATCTGGGAGCAAACAGAGAAATTTAACCTCATTCCTTTAGGCCTGGGTTGCACATATGATGTCAACATGTATTGAGATGACGACGACAGTGTGGTCAGGCCTCAGCATGCTATTAGGGCAGACCCATTAGCTGCTAAAACTGTTTAATTTACACATAAAAAAAGCAGCTTTTCCAAAGCTTGTAACTTGGCAAAATTTAGACATATCTGCCCCTTCTGTGAAAAGGGCATATTCCTGATACAAATCTGTCTAAATTTTAGCCTTAGCTTATTGTATGGAAGTACTTTAGAATAAATAAATAAACCCAAAATCTTTCCAATACACTGTTCTCTAATCTGTTTCTCAGAAATTAATGCTTTGTTCTGCCAAAAGCTTTCCAAAAAGCCCCCCCCCCCCAAATATCTGATTTAAAGCCCTGATTATATTGCTACCCAAATTCATAGCTACACTGAGTTCTTTTATCTAACCTATGCCGTGTTGAAAACTCAGCAGAGAAGTGATTATAGTTTTCAGCAAGATTAATGACTTATCTGCCTCGCTGTGAAGCTAAGAAAAATAAAAGTTATTGGTTTCAACAGACATACAGATTTACTTCTGATTAAAGCAGCCCTGTAGCCATGGCTATGACATAAGCTCACAGAGAAAGTATCATCCTCAAATACTTCATATACAGCAAAACTGATGGGAGGTTAAAACAGATTTTATGGCAAGTACCAGTAACCTAAGAAAACCACGTTATCAGCTACATCTGCGATGATAATTTCAAGGATGTTTCCGCCTTCAAGTTTATTAGAAAAGAATCAAATAGGCCATATAAAATTAGTACCATTAGAACAATAGACATGCTTTAGGAGTTTACAGCCTGTTTTTTAGGAGTTTACAGTCTGTGTTTTTCTTTCACAAGGAACTCAAGCTTTCTAACACTGAAGCTCTAATCATTTACTGGGTTTTGCTTTACTCATTTTGTATGCATAAGCATCAACAGCAGATTATGTTTTATTATCTGATTTTCAAATACATTATTCATTGATCCCTGAGTCCTGCTGATTCTGGTTAAATGACACATTTTTGGTAATGAGAAAAAGCTGTAAGCAAATAACTTAGAGAAATACAGAATAGAAAACAAAAGGTTCTTGCTTAAGTTATGTGCATGTTTCACACTAAGAAAACAAAAGACAGAGCAATTCCTCACTGTTGTGGCAAAGGGCTAGGCTGTTTTGTGATTAAGGGCAAGCATACAGGCTGATTTCTGGCTCCTCCACAGATTTCTGCATAATCCTAGATAAATCACAAATATTTTTTGGCACCTCTGTGCAAGGTTGGTGAAATATTTTACTGTCTGAGTAACTGTAAAGAAAATAACTGATGTAGACATAATCCTGTGCTACAACCTGTCGAAGCAGAGACGCAATTTACATAGGGCAGTTTTCAATAATCGTTGTATTATGCTTGTGAAATATTCTTTCTAAGTCTAGGCAGCCACATTAAGACTATAAATACAGTATTAGCATCTCTGCAGTTCTTAAATCACAGAGCATGTATAATAATCATGCAGTTATTAAGTTTAATTTGGAAACTCATCTTGCCTAAATACAATTGAGGAGAAAGAGAAGTTCTGTATACTATCTGTTGGCAGAAAAAAACGCACAAAGAGTACGGCAAGTGCTCTGTTTCTCCAGCTAGTACTCAACTGTTTTCTCAATAATGAAGACTATTTGCATGTGCTAAAGAACAGAAGGTTTACACCAAAAAATAAAATATTGCGTGGGGTGCAAATGAAGAAACTTCAGTAAAAGCTGTGCTGTTGGTGCCTGAAATCTGTAGGTATTTTTCAACTGCAATAACAGGCACACACCTGTGGCTGAGTGTTACAACATATGTTTTCGTGCAGTTTTCAGTTCCCTACCTTCCTGGCACTGTTAAAACCATGTAGTTACAAAGCTGTTTACACCCTTGCTGCAATCATTATTTAACATGATTACACTCATAAAAATGCAGAGGGACAAGAATAAGAGAGTACGCAACAGTGAAAGTAGCAGTGAAAGCAATGTACACGCTACCAAGGCAACAGTACCTTAATCTTTGATCACTACAGTCTTTTGAGACGGAAGCTTTGAATGCAGAAAGAAAAAAAAAAATTGGCATAGCTTAAGGATATCACACTAAAAATTTTAGATAAAGTATGATACCAGCAAAGGGAGGGGGAAACACAGACTGGTTAGTGAGGGTGGGAACAGTCTCTGGCACAAAGCATCCTGTGGAAGGAAAGCCAGGATTAAATCAGTACAGAAGTATGGAAAGACCTGAATGACAGGTGGAAGCAGCACATGAACTACATGCATAAGCAGTGAATTACAAGAAAGGCAGATATAACCAAACTTTCCAGAAATCTAAATACAGTATCTGTAATTTGCTGGCTACCAGAAAGTGAGAGTGAAATCCTGACTTTAATAGGACCAACCTGTCACTCTAAATACTGAATCTCACCAAAATCAAGCAGACTAGTTGACACATGCAGTATTCTAGCATGTGGCTATAAGGTTCTTTGGTATGAGAAGACAGCGAGCCAAGCTCTGTGCCTCATGTAATATACAGAAACGCAGAATGAACACGTGGACCTACCCGGGGTATTTGGTACGGAATCAAAGTGACAATTGGATAACACTGCATGCTCAGCTCCATTTCGGGGTTCCAGCTTCACTATGACATTGGTTATGTTTGCATAGTAACTAGTAAAGCCTCCTAAAAAGTCAATGCTGAAAGAGCCTGTGGGCCTCTGTATGTCTACAGATATCTTGTGAGCATCTGTGCTTTCTCTTTCTATTGCCCTAATTTGTTCTAAGAGGTAGTTAACTGCAAGAACTTCATTTTCTGGACTTCCAACTGTTCTGGGCCCAATTGCTGTTATGTTGTCAAGATAGCCCCTGTAAGAGATAAATTACACGTTCAGCATCAACACGTTCAACATTTAGTATCTAAGTTATCTACAACTGTAACATTTTTCTACACTGTCCTATTTCAAAACTCACAGTAAGTGGAAGAGACTTTTAGACAATTACATGGTAACTGCAGTCAGGATGCCGAAGATCATTATGGTAATGAGCATATAGGACCAATCTTTACTCAGGGCTCGTCATCCTATCTATCATGGTATCAAATCAAACTACTGGTTTTCTGGCTTGAACATATCAATCCAAAAAGAAACAAAAGGGTGAATGGAGAAGCTAAAGATTTTATCTTTAGCAAGGTTCTCCATATGCATACATGCTCTCCCCTGAACGTCTGAAGAAGCACATTCTTAGCAATACTTACACCAACTAAAAATTTGCAAAGAAGCTCTCCCAGACACTGAGTACTTTATAATACCAGGAGTAGTAATCTGTGGAGGATGCATTGTTTGATCAGCCCAAAACAGCACCTTTAAGAGGCAGCCAATACAGAGCTGGAGCCCTTACAATATTTTCACCTACTCTCTGGAAGCGTCCAGGCGAGCTCTGCGCTCTTGCCAGGGCAGGGAAAGGCAGAAGCACCCTGCAGGGGACAGGAACCTGGCAACTGCCGGCAGAGGCCCCC